GGGAGGCCTCCTGGTCTTCATCAGTTCTAGAGTGAGGGCAGCTCGGGATTAACTCAGAAGGTGAAAGAGGAAATAAATAAATGTAACCAATTCTCAAAAGAAACATTACAAGGAGGAACTTACTATTTCAAGCACTTACACCAGAGAGGACCCGTCTCAAAAGAACAGACTGCCAAGATCAACCCCACACGAGCTGAGTGGGGTGCAGAGCACACCCCAGGGCCTTCTTCCTCCACATTCCCATCACCTAGCCATGTTGAGAAGACCAAGTGTCCCCAAATGCCTGGCAGGGAGGCCACTTCCCTCCAGTGACCTGCAACCCCATCCTACCAGAGGCATAGCAATAGTGATAAGCAGAACACAGCACCTAGCTCCTGCAGCTCCCAGAAGAGCTCCCCCAGGGCACAGGGGACATGAGAAACAGCCACCAGACAGGACAACCCTCACCTTGGGTGGGAGACCCCCCTGATACGCTGGCCAGCTGCAGGAGTAGACAATGGGGCGGCCCGTGGCGTTCAAAGCCCTCGCCATTTCTGGGTAGCCTTAGGGAGAGAAGACGACAACCGGTGAGGGAGATGGCTGGCAGCAGCCTGTGTCCACAGCCTGCCCTGTCCTTACACCAGCTCTAGGGCACCCAAATTCCCTCCTCTCTGCCCAAAAGCTGCAACAGGAGATGGGAGGGAAGAACCAGCTGGCCAACTGTTTCTGCAGACAGACAGCTGCCCTGACAGAAGCAGTGAGGGGAGAAACGCCAGCTGGCCGGGGAGCCTTTACCCTCCGCCTGCTCCTTTGCCGACGAGTAGCACCCATCCAGCTTCAGCATGTCCACACCCCACTCTGCAAAGGTCTGGGCGTCCTGCTCCACGCAGTCCAGCGTGGTGCCTGGGTAGCCCCCACAGGTGAGGGTGCCCAGGTTGGCATAAATGCCCAGCTTCAGGCCCCGAGCATGGACCTACAAGGAGAGAAGAATTGCAAGGAGGGGACAAGGAGGGTCTGAGGTGCCTCCTGGGAACCAGGTGGCATGGGGACATGGACATCCCCCATTATCCCCCGCGGGCACTCACATAGTCAGCCAGAGCCTTAATCCCTCTGGGAAACCTCTCGGGGTCGGGAACCAGCCGTCCCGCCGCATCCCGCTGCTTGGCAGACCAGCAGTCGTCAATGTTGATGTACTTGTAGCCCAGTTCCCTCCAGCCATCCTCTGCCAGGCGGTCTGCCATCTCAAAGAAGAGTGTCTCACTGCAGATCGAGGGGACAGAGATGTGGCAGGGATGTTGAGACCCTGCGACCTCCGTGCCCCACCAGTTGAGGTGGCCAACAGGACTTTGGGGCTAACTGGGGGCTCTGGAGGGTCAGTCACTGCAGGGCTGGCCTGGGCCATAGGGGAGGGTCTCCAGGGCTCCCGTTTAAAGCCTGTGTCCCGTTCACTGATCTCACCGAGGGGAAGCATCTCCCCGACACCCACAAGGCCTGGCCACGTCCTTCAGCACCGGGGGCTCTCCAGCTCCAGAACC